TGGATTAATACTTAGTCCATAGGCACACACCTGATCATCTACATTTGCCCTCTTACAGCACTAAACTATGTTTTCTACCTTTATCTTGCATCTACCTACCACTTCAGCATTTTATTAAAAATAAAAATAATAATAATAATAAAGGGAGAAATGTGGGATCCACATATAAATCAAGTATAAAAATCAAACGAATATTCATATTTGACCTGATTGTTTATAGTTCATAATGCGTGATCAAAACCGAATGTTTCTGTGATGACTGCCCTTGCACTGTTCACCATGTAAGAACTTATTCACTATGTAAGAATTCGTTAACCATGTAAGAACTTGTTCGTTATGCTTCAGAAGATTGGAGACTGACGAGAATTAGGCTTGAGATGGATTAATGATTGTACATTGAGTATTGACCCATCTATACTGAATTTTATTGTTGTTAACAACCATTTGATCAATAAATATGAGAGATGCCCTCTCAAAAAAAATAAAAAAAAATAAAAAAAAAATTATTGTCTGCCATTCTACAGGTTGTCTTGTCACTGTGTTGACTGTTTTCTTTGACATGTAAGTTTTTAAGTTTAGGGTAGTTCCATGTCAATTTTGCTTTTTATACCTGTGCTTTTTATGTCATATTGAAGAAATAGTTGCCAAATTCAACTGCTTTTTTCATGTTTTCTTCTATTAGTTTAATAAAGTTTTGTGCTTTAGGTCTTTGATCTATTTTGAGTTAATTTTTACATATGTGTTAAGTAAGGATCCAACTTCATTATTTTGCTTGTGAACATCCAGTTTTCCCAACACCACTTAAGAGACTGTCTTCCCTACTGTGTAGTCTTGGCACTTCGGTTGAAAGTCATTTGGCCATGTTGGTGAGACTTTGTTTCTGGGCCCTTTATTCTGTTCCATTGGTCTATATTATCTATCTTTATGTCAGTAGTACACCATCTTAATTATTATTGCTTTGTAGTATGCTTTGAGGTCAGGAAGTATGAGGCCTCAGATTTTGTTTTCATTAAAGTATTTTGGCTATCTGGGGTCCCTTGAGACTCCATAGGGATTTTAGGGATTTCTGCAAAAGGAAAAATGCCATGGGGGTTTTGATAGGAATTGCACTGAATCTGCAGATCACTCTGGGTAGTATGGACATTGTAACAATATTAAGTCCTCCAATCCATGGGTATAGGATGCCTTTTCATTTATTTTTATCTTCTCTGAATTGGTTCAATAATATTTTGTAGTTTTCAATGTTCAAGCTTTTATCTCCTTGGTTTATTCCTAAATATTTTACCCTTTATGATGCTATAGTAAATGAAAATGTTCTTAATTTCTTTTCCAGATTGGTCATTGTTAGTGTATAGAAAACAACTAATTTTTGGCCATTGATTTTGTACCCTCAAACTTTGCTGAATTTGTTTATTAGTTCTAGTTTTTTGTGGAATCTTGAGGGTTTTCTACATAAAAGATCATGTTATCTGCAAATAGATCACCTTACATCTCCCTTTCCAGTTGTGTATCTTACCTCTTTTTCTTGTCTATTTGCTTTAACTAGAATTTCCAGTACTATGTTTAACAGCAGTGGTGAAAATGGCATTCTTGCCTTGTTCCTGATCTCAAAGGATTAGTTTTCAGTCATCCCATCCTGAATATGATGTTCACTGTGGGCTTTTCATATATGGCTTATGTGGAAGAAACTCTCTTATATTTCTAGTCTGTTGAGTGTTTTTATCATGAAAGGGTTTTGAATTTTGTCAAATGCTTTTTCTGCATCAACTGAGGTTACCTTGTGGTTTTTGTCCTTCATTTTGTTGATGTGGTATATTACACTGGTTGCTTTTTGTACGCTGGACCATCCTTACATTCCAGCTGTAAGTCCCACTTGGTCTTGGTGTTTGAGCCTTTTAATGTGTTCACAAATTCCATTTGCTAGTATTTTGTTCAGGGTTCTCACATCAGTATTTATCAAGGACACTGGTATGAAGTTTATTTTGTTGTGTCTTTGTCTCATTTTGGAATCAGGGTAATGTCAGCCTCACAGAATTGAGTTTGGAAAGTATTTTTTCTCTTCAATTATTAGGAAATATTTGAAAAGGATTGGTGTTAATTACCCTTTAAATGTCTGACAGGATTTTGTTGAAACCATAGGGTCTTGGTCTTTTCTTTGTTGGGAGGTTTTTAATTGCTGCTTCAATCTTCTCACTACTTACAGGTTTATCCATGATTATTTGTTTATGTTCATTATTTCTTTTTGATTCAGTCTTGGTAGGGTGTATGTATTTAGGAATTTATCTATTTCTTTTAGGTCATCCAATTTTTTGGCATGTAACTGTTCATAGTAACCTCTAATAATACTTTTTATTTCCTCTTTTATTTCTAACTTTAGCTATTTGAGTCTTCCCTTTTTTCTCAGTCTAGCTAAGATTTGTCAATTTTGTTGATTAAAAAAAAACAGCTCGTTAGTCTTTCGGGGTTTTTTTTCTATTCTATGTTTCAGTTATCTCTGCTGTAATCTTTAGTTCTGCTGATTTGGGGTTTAGTCTTTTTCTTTTTCTAGTTTCTTGAGGTATAAAGTGAGGTTGTTGATCTGAGAGCTTTCTTTTTTCATGTAAGCACCTACAGCTATAAACTTCTCTCTTCCTACTGCTCTTGCCTTACCCCGTAAGTCTTGGTATATTGTGTTTTCGTTTTCATTTGTCTCAAGGTATTTTCTAAATTTCCATGTGATTTCTTCTTTCACCCTTCAGGTGTTTGAGAGTGAGAGAAACAACCAAATTTCTACATATTTGGATTTTCCTGTTTACCTTCTACTGATTTCTAGTTTCATCTGGTTGTGGTCAGAAAAGGTACTTTGTATGACTTTAATCTTAAATTTTTTAGGACTTATTTTGCAACCTAACGTGGTCTATTTTGAAGAATGTTCTGAGAAGAACGTGTTATCTGCTGTTTTTGGGTGCAGTATTCGGTGTGCGTCTGCCGGTCTAATTGGTTGTTAGTGTTGTATTAATCCTCTGCTTTCTTACTGGCTTTCTGTCTGGGTGTTCTGTCCATAACTGAAAGTGGGGTATCAATATCAAAAAATTTTCTTACTACATTGTACTGCTGTCTCTCTCTTCAATTCTGTCAATGATTGCATCATATATTTAGGAAATAATTTTTAATAATAATATAAAAAGACTGCAGTCAAAGTATTTTCCCTTAAGAAAAAGACTGGCTATAATAAGGAATAAAAAGATAGAAGGATATATACAAAATGAGAGGCTTTGGTGGTTTTTATTAACTTCACTGTATTTCTTTTTATATTCTGCCAACGTTTAATAATGAATAGAAGTTCCCTTAGCAATTACAAAATAAAAAATCTTTTTTTAAAAAAAAGATGTGTACAGTATTATAAACTGATTCATGAGCTAATGAATTTTTCATATTGCATTTGAGTTTCTACTAATTACAAAAGACTAGGATGTTAGACAAATAACATTTAATTTGCTTAAATTCTTTTTTCTTTAAGAATACAATCACTTCATCTTCATCTTAGATTAGCAGAATTTCAAAATTAAAAACTTTCAATATCAGGCCTGCCTGAATAATCCAGGCAAATCAGGAAACAGATGTGTCCTCTTATTCTTCATACTTTCTCCCCCGTTTAGATATTAATTTGATTATAAAACAAAAGTAATCAAAATGTCAAAGCAATTTACTCTTAGTTTTTCACATATTTTGTAAGAAAGCCACATTCAATTACCACTCCTACTACTGCAGACCTTATTAAGAAATAAACTTTAACAAATATTTTTTTGGAAAATTGTTCACTACAAATTTAATCATTTGATATGTCTTGGGCCTCATACTCATTCTGCACAAAGAAATGATTTTGAGACTCATTTTCTGGTTTAAAAATATTTTAGTATTTTTATATGCACAATCAATTAATTATTCAGGCTAAATAGAAGTTTTTAATTGGTGGATTCTTATAATGTAGTCATTGTTGGCAAAATGGTTAAATTGAATGTGTGGGTAATCAGAGCCAAATTTTTATTCAGAATGAAACTATTTTTAAAAATGAAATTTTAATAAAAATATTGAGATAATGAACATTCTGTATTTGGAGATTTTATACTTGAGTCTAAGAGACAGTCATTAACAACAGCAATATTTAAATATATCTTACTAAAAGTAGAAAATTTTTATAGATTTATAAAAATATTTAGAATCCAATCCTATAACTAAATAATAATGTCTTTCCACTTTTCACAACTGTAAGAAAGGTAGGTATATTTAAAAAGTAAACAGAATTTCCCAAATACTGGAAATACTTAGCAGAACGAGAAAATATATGTTAAATCTTCTGGAAAGAAAGCATTAGTTAATACTTACTGGACATAGCAGAGAAACCCTTAGGCTGGTTGTAGCTATTTCACTGTCTGGATCCGCAGTCAATTTCTCTTTAACTGATATTCATTGAAGAGAAACAAACAAATAAAACAAGTTTATTAAAGATGCATGGCTGATGCAATGTAAAAAAGAATGAGGAACTTAAACTGAAGAACCTTTAGAAAAAACAAAACTAAAAACTAATCTGCTTAATTACTTCCCCATCAATTGAATGGAAAGATAAAAACAAGTAAATGGTTTATAATTTCTACAATAAGCAAAGGAAGGAAAACAATTGTTTATCTCTAGACTGACTACATTTCCTGTAAGTTTCCTATTTCTCACCCACAGAACAAAAACTGCTTTGCAGTAACATAAAGGAAATTTCTACAGCAGATTGACATATTCTACTGATAACAGGCCCTTTTTCTCTTATAACTCTAAGATACTGGATAGAGAGTATCTTTCTTTTAAACTATGACCAATATTATTTTGGTATATAAAATAACTATGTTTTATAAACATAAAACTAACATTGACAAAATTTTCCAAAGCTCAGATTATATTTATTATAAAACACATTTTAAAAAGTTAATTGCTTTTTTATCATAAAATTATTTGAATTGTCCATTTATTTATCTATAAACTAATTATGCTCCCTTGGGCAAGTCAAACTTCCTCTCTGAGCTCAATTTTACTTCTAGCACAAGAATTCACACTAGATAATCTCTAAGTCTTTTCAGTTCAAACCATCTAGAGAGGAGGCAAACTTTAAGAAAGGAGTCGCAAGTAATTTTATTTTTAATAGCTATTCTGTTATTATTCTCCATCAGTCTAATGTAACAAGGATCTTTATACTTCTCATCTGGAAACCTGAGGGATCTGTTACTTTTGAAACTTTAATTTACAACTTAAGGTGAAATTTCAATGCAAAAGTGAAACTGCAAATGTCTAAAGTAATTAATATTCAAACAGTTTTTAAAATTCTTCCACAGTAACTTTTAAGGCTCCCATTTGTAAGGGCTGCCCAAATGGAGTACTTGTATACATAGTCAATCTTAGAATTTCAGAGCTGGGGCGAGCAACTAAGTATGACCAAGCAGTTACCACAGAGTAAAAAAAATATGGGGAGGGAAAAAATATTTGGATAAGGAAGAATGGTGGCATCTGTTGTCCTGATAACCATCTATAAGAAGTAAGAATCCTGTATTTATTAAACATGGTGATCACAGTCTGGGTTTTTTTTTTTGAGATGGTCCAAACCTTAGATATTTTATCCACCTGTCTTCAAAAATTAGTGAATCTCAACTAAGATGCACATCAGAACTACCTGTAAAGCTTTCTAACTTATAATTGCCCACTGAATCAGAATAGGGAGGAAGGACACCAATGCGTAGGTTCTTAAAAAACCAGATGTGATTCTGATGCCAGACTAAAAAGTCACTTCATGGCCTGGAAATTCCAAAGTTTTAATGTCTATATAACTCATAAGCTGCCTCTCATACCTGAAAAGGCATAAAATCCCTGTATTTTAATTTGGAAAATACAGTTATCATTATCACTTATGCTAATTAATATCATATGTAAATTATGAAAGCGTGCCTTTGCCATTATAGTCTCAATCTTAATCTTCATATAAAGCTACATTTAAAGAATATTATCTTTTTAACAAGATACTTTATCTTTGAGGTAACAAATAACTGCCATACAAAATAAACATGTAAATAGAATTCTAGTGTGATTACTAACCATTCTGACTTTGGGTTTTGCCTATTTAAAATTTCAGTTAAATTTAAGAAACAATACCATAGATCACAATATAGCCTTATGCAAAACAAAGTTTAAAGTTTAGGAGTTCAAAAAGAAATTAAATTAGAAGAGGCAATGAGGGAGTGATTAATACAGGATCTAGAATCAGCCTAAATTAGAATTCAGACTTAATCTTAACTCATTCAACCTCTCTATGCCTCGGTTTCATCATCTTGTAAATGGTAATAATAATTGTAAATCTTAGCACTGTTTTAAGGATTAGATGAGTTAATACACATAAAATATTCTAAAACCTAACATTACTACTCAATAAATATTGGCTACTGCTACTTAAAAGTAAAATGTGACTTGTATATTCACTTTCTTTCAGAGGTGGGAGCATGTTCTGAAATTATTTTACAATAAGCTAGTCAATTTCTATTAAAAAAAGAAAAACCTTGCCTTTCACCTTTGATATCACAGACTCAATCTTAGTCAATCCTTTGATGTAAAGATACTTTTAAAGATCTTACTAGGATCTTAATAGGATTGAATTTAATCTGTGGATCAACATGGAGAGAAATGACATTTCTCTTATAACAATACTGAGTGTTCTAAATCATTAGTTCTCCATTATTTAGATCTTACTTAATTTCTTTCAGCAGGTTTGTAGTTTTCATACAGATCTTATACATATTTTGTGCAATGTATCCCTAAGTATTTCATATGTTTGGATGTTATAGTAAATTCCTGTTTTTTGAATTTCAACTTCCAATTATTTACTGCTAATTGAAATACAATTGATATTTATAAATCAACCATGTATTCTGAAACCTTGTTAAATTCACATACTAGCACTATATCTTTTTTGTAGATCCTTTGGGATTTTTTTCTACACAATGAGGCCATCTTCAAATAAAGACAATAATTATTTATTCATTTCTAATTTTTATGCTTTTTTTTCTTGCTTTATTGTGCTGCCTAGGATTGCAAGGACAATGCTAAACAGCAGTTTTAAGAGCAGATATTCTTGCCTTGCTCCCAATTTTAGGTGTGAAGCATTCACATTTTTCACCATTAACTATGATATCAACTGAAGGTTTTTTGTAAATACCCTTTATTACACTGAGGCGGTTTCCTTCTTTTTTTTTTCCTTGCTGAGAGTTTTATCATGACTTGATACTGAATTTGACCAAATGCTTTCTCCACATCAATGGAAATAATCATACCACTTTTTTATTTTTAGTTTGCTGAAAATGTGAATTATACTGATTGATTTCTGAACATTGTACCAACCTAATATTCCTGCAATGAACTCTATTTGGTTTATTGCCTGGAATGTGGCAGTGGTTCATGAGTGCATATACCTGTCAAACTCATCAAACTGTATACTTAAAAAGGTGGATTTTTACTGTGTGTAAACTGTACTTTAATAAACATAACCAAAAGGAAGAAGAAATAAAGAGAGAGCAGGGAAAAATCACTATGTTGAATTTAAACCCAAGAAGGTATGGAGAAAAAATTAAGAAAAGTACTTGTCCTTTGTGGGCAAGGTAATAAAAAATAAAAACAAGACATAATATTCATCTGGCTTATCAACCAACACATGGAAGTCTTCTGAGAGTTAGTGAGTTACAGTATTAACAGTATTTTTATAGGATGACCTATAGGAGAATTATAGTTAACCACATTTAAAGTTTATCTTTTTAAATCCCTGCTATCATGAGCTATAAGCCACTAGTCACATGTGACTATATTTAAATTAAAATTAAATAGAATTTAAAATTCAGTTCCTTAGTTGCATTAGCCCTGTTTACAGTGTTCAATAGTCACATATGGCTGGTGGCTACCACATGGGACAGTGCAGATGTAGAAAATTTCCATCATCAGACATTGTTCCACTAGTGCTGTTCTAGGTTTTTTTTGTTGTTGTTCGCTTTGCTTTTTAAATAATTTCTATCCTTCATTAGTGTCAGATTATTTTATACTCAGCCTTTTAGAATTTTAAGGCCAGAAACAAATGAACATATGAAGTCCAATACTTCACATTTTATAGGAAAGGAAACAAAGGCACAGAGATATGATTTTTACTCTAGAACTTTTTTCTTCAATTTCCTTCACCAAAAATCTGAGAATCTACTATGTGCCAGGCACTATGCTAAGAACTAGGAATTCAAAGAACTCATAGTCTAGTAGAGAGTAAAGACGCCTAGTGAGATCATCTCTAATGTGCTCTGATTGACATGTTTAGGAAGCTAGTTGCCAGTCAACTCATCCCCTGGGGTTTCTGAGATGCCTCCTGAAAAAAGTGAAATGTGAAGGACAGCGAGTTAGGTGAAGAAGGCAACAGGAAAGTTTTGCGGCCCAGAGAACAGTACTGGTGTTTTTTCTAATAATAATGCATGAAGAGTAAATACAGGTGACACCGGAAAGAAATGAGCAGGTGCCAAATTATGGAAAGCCATGTATGTTATGCTAAAGAAGCTGAAGTTTTTATTTCATTAGTGTTAAGAAGCCATGAATTATAAAGGAATAGCAAGAAAATTAATCACTTAGGTTGCCACCAGAGGAGAGAGATGAAGAGAGGCCAAGAAAGGAGAGGGATGTATTATTTAAAAGTAGATCTGTAAAATAAAGGCAAGACAGGAGAGCTTAAGCTAGGACAGTGATGGTATGGAAAGACAGGAGACAGATTTGAGAAATATTTAGGGCTTAAGTTTGATAGGACTTGGTCAGCTCAGTTTTAGATACTTGACTTTAAGGAGCAAGTAGAATGTTTTGGTGAAGGTAGTTAGCTATGCATATCTGTATTTGAGATTCAAGGGAAGGTCTGGGATGAAGATATGTATCTGGGAGCTGGTGCTAGTTTAAACCACAAAAGTGGTTCCGATGATCTCCAGGGGAAGTATGGAGAAAAGCAGACCAAAGATGAAACCCCAAGGAAAAAAAAACAAAAAACTTGAGATGCTTCCTTAAGAGAATCCACTGAAGGCAAGTGATTGAGAAGAAATAATCAGAAAAGAGAATTTTAAGGACAAAAGTGGTTGGTATGAAATGTAGCAAAAAAAAATGAAAACTAGGAAGATAAACTTGAAATTTGGAAATCAGATGGTCACTTGTGATGTCTGCAAGAGCAGTTTCAGTGAACAATGGGTTACAGAGACGTAAAAAGAGCAAGGGTAGAGCACTGTGAAGGAGCTGGATGAGAACAGGACGAACACAGAGCTCTACTAGAGAGTAGCTTGTTTTGTGTTTCTTTAAAGGTTGAGAGACTTGAGAGGATGAGCCTATAGAGAGACAGGAACTGAAAATACAGGACAGGGAGAAGGTAAATGAGAGAGCCACGTCTCAAAATTGTTCCTGAGCATTTTCACCTGATGTCTCACAGACATCTCCAATACCAAAAGTCTAGGAGTCTACTCTGATCTTTCTCTCACAAACTGATGGTTTCTCTGCCACATAACCTGTGCTTCAGTAAGAAGCCTCCTTGACCTCTCCTTTTTCTTCACTCCCCACAGTCTATTACCATTTCGACCCTCAACACTTCTGAAACTAACTTCTCTCTCTGTCTATCAGCATTACCTTAGTTCAAGACACCATCGTTCCTTATTTTGCATAATACTAGATTCCTAACTGGCCTCAATGTATTAGCCTTGCCCCGCTTCAATGCAGTCTTCAAAGTAATCTTTTTACTGCCCAAATCTGAACATGTCACTCTGCTTAAAAATCCTTTAAGGGTTTTCTGTCATCTTTCTTTGTATCAGCCATATGAACTAAGCCCATGGCTCTCTCTCTGATCACTCTCCTTGCTCTCTCCACTCCAGTGTCTTTGGCCTCTCAGCATACTCCGCTCCTGTCTTGGGGCTTCACTCCTCATCATCCTTATAATCTTGTTTTAAACATCACAGCACCAACAGAGGACTACGTTCTCCTGCAACCACCTCCAGAGTTCCCTTTCTTAAGACATGTCACGACTGTAATTCACTGATGACTTGTGCAATCATTTAATCCTATCTTTCTCACTAGACTGCAAACTTCTGAGGGCTGCAGAGACAGTGTATGTCTTGTTTAATGCTATACTCCTTGTGCCTGGAACACAGCAGACTCTTAATATTATTTCTTGAATGAGAAGAATAAATGAATAAAAGATTAGCTTTGGGCAAGAAAAGGGCTATTTCTTCCTGAGACTGAAGAGAGTAAGAAAGAATGGGTACAAATGTAGATAAGCTGAAAAGTAGTTGTAGTGGCACTAAGATTAAGGAAGAAATGGGCAACTCAGAGAATTCACATCTTGTAACCCCAATTTTCTTGCATTAGCAGTGATCTGAGAGAGGGAGAATAATGTTTTCATAAAGTATGGCCAAGATTTAAAGTAACTGCTGAAAAGAAGAGGGAGAGAAGACAGGAACCTGACCCAGAATTAGTCAAGGGTGGTTTTGTGTTAATTGTTAAGGGGCAACTCTACACAAGGTGGAAACCACAATGCAAAAATATACTAAGCCAAATTTATCAGAGAATGGATTTCCCTGTGCAAAGTCTAATTACTGACTTTATTCTTTCAAGATGTTAACAGTTTCTCATTTGTTTAATAAAACCTGCCAGTAGAATTTATTAGTAAGAGAATGACTTAACAATGAACATATTTGTTGGTAATTTGATTCTTCAAAAATATCTGAGAAACCTGTCAACATTTTCTTCTCTCAGGTTGTCTTAACACAGTATTTTAATTACATAATTAATCTGCTGGCAAAGCTACTTCTTTACTGATAGTAAAAAGGCAAATAGTCTGTTCTTTAGTCAATTACAACAAATGTCTTATTGGTAGGATTCAAATTAACGTTTCGTTGGTTCCCAGGACAGTAAGATATAAATTGCCACAAAAATCCTACCAAGTCTGCAACTCGTCCTCCTCCAGCACTGTACCACAGATGAAATAAATAGCTTTTGGATTAAGGGACTTTTGCTGCGTAATAGTGGCTAACATTGGTTCTTTGCAGAAAATAAAATAACTCTAGCTCATCTTCCCACTCTCCCTCCAGATGGTGCTACAGCTACAAGTGGAGAAAAGTTAATAGCTGGAGCAAAGACAGCTTGTCTTCTTCTTCTTATTAAATATAACAGCTTAACCTGCCTTATTTCTTGTTATGTTACCTTTTCCATACAGGCTCACTTAATTCCACAATGCTTTCTGACAAGATGAGATTCTAGCACTATGTAGCAAATGTGAAGGTTCTCATTAGAATGACCAGGAATGGACTTGAGCGAGAAGAAAGTCCTTTTCTTGCACTCTCCTTCCTCTATCTCTCTGCCCCTGCCAAATGTAGTTGCCACAACCCTAGGTCCCCAACCAGTGCTGTCACTGTAGCTCCCCATTGTCCTTCAAGGACACTGAAAGACAAGAGGGAGGCATTAACCAAAAGTGTACTCTTCTTGACTCAAGATCAATTTGCATTTTAAAAGAGCCCTTTTAATACAGAAAAATCCCTCAATGAACTATTATTTCCTCAATAAACTGATATTCAGAGGTAGTAGGATATTTTATTCTGGCATAGAAACAGATTAGAAAAAAAGATAAGAGGCTGTACCACAAAGGGAAATAAGAGGAGAGCTGACTTTACTACTTTAGTTCTTTCCGCCAGTGATCTTAAATGCGAATCAGACACTGAGCTTCATTAACAAATTCATATCAAGAATCCTTTGAGAATAGCTAGCTAACCCCTGCCAGTAAAAGTTTTGTACCCTAAGTGTCTAGACCCATCCCCAATCCACACATCCATGAAGAATCTTTCTCTCACAAAGAAGAGAAAAAAAGGAAGAACTTAAATCACCTCATTGGAAAGATCACCAACTTCTGGCCTTAACCCTCAAAACTTGGGGCCAGAACAGTCAATCTGACTACATTATCTCAAATTCAACACAAGAAAATGAATCATCTAGCTATTCATACCAAAAAAGCAGTCTTTGGAGGGGCTTCAGAAATCATATGGTACACAAGCCTCTTATTACGGATGAGGAATATGAGACTCAAAGTAGAACGCTTGTCCAAGGCTACATAACTGATTAATGGCAGAACCTACTTCATTATTTCTACAACCCCAATGACTCACTTTTTATTTTGTTCACGCAGAATCTAGTCATCATAAATGCCTGCACACTTTTTCTAGATCAACCTTAAATATAAAATAATTCTCATGGAATATATATCAAGATGTCCTTCCCATGTCCTAAAGTTCCTTGAACATTTATTTATTTTATGAAGTTTTAGTAATACATTCTGTGTTCATGTACTGGCTTTACAAGGTTAATTTTAAGATCAGCAAAATATAGACTATAAACTATAAGTCGTTATAAAGATACGGTTTTCGGTGTTTTTAATCCTTTAATGACAAGCTCTAGTAAAAAAAAAAAAAAAATTCTTGAATTGAGAAAATACTACTCTAACCTTTACCAAAATATTTCAGCTGCAGAAATGAAGTAAGTTTATCATACGTACTTAAAGCTCTAGAATGATCCGGATTCCTTATTCCCTTTGCTCGTAACCTCTGAAGAAGAACTGTTGAGGACAATTGTTTTACAAGATACACTGCCATGGAATAGTTCTGAAAAAAAAAAAAAAAAGATGTAGAAAACAAACAACATATGTAAATAAATAGTACATCTATTTTAATCCCACAGTGATAGGGAAAGAAAGCTAACATTTGTTAAAACACCTACTGTGTGCCAAGCACTATCTCAGGTGTTCTGATGAAGGGTAATTCATTAAACCCTAAACAAAAAGCTGCTGAGGTGGTCATAAACTTACTTTTATGGATGAGGAAAGTGAAGTGTAGAAAAAAGAACTTGCCCTAATTATCCAACTTTCAAGCAATAAAGCAGGTCTGCTATGCTTCTGTATTACCTGACTACATACGCTTAAAGCTAATCAATTTAAGGTGCTTATATAAAAGAACACTAAATATAAACTAAGATCAATAAGATGTCAAAGTTTTCATAAAACATATTTAGTAGGTAATAAATATATCTAAAATAGTAACTATTTTAAAAATTACAGAATAGATTGGCTTCCTAATCTGTACCATTTAATCTCTATATCTTTAACTAGTTCTTGAAAAGAACCTACTTGGACCATTATCACAAGAAGCATAGGAATATTAAAGATTTTTAAAGAGAAGCTGCTGGTTTGGCAAATGAATCCATTACCAGCACAGGGACTACCCAGCTGTGGTAAATAGCAGAAGGGGACAAAGAAAATAGTTAACTAATAAGCCAAGGTAAAGTAAAAGGTACATGATTAGATAAGAGGAAGAAAAGAGGGCTGAGGCTTGTGAAGGGTAGGAGAGAGATCTCAATAAAAAGGCCAACTTTCCATTTGGTGTTGGGATCAAGAGGAAGATCAAGAGATTTGGAAAGAAGCAAAAGGAAAAATAATTACTGCACCTTCTATCTTACAGCTATATGCAGTTTTCAAAGCACTCTTAGTATACACTATCTACTTCATTTGAACCTGTAAGGTATAAGGCCTATAAGAGAGAGAGGGGATAAGTATTTTTCTAAGTGAAGGGTTGATGAGACACAGACACACAAAAAATGTGGAATCTGATCACGATCATTTATCTGCTTGGTGACAGGGCTGGCAGTAGAGACCAAGAGGAAAGAGCAGGCCAACAGGCTTCATGGCCCAGGCTAGTGTAGTTCTCTACAGTTCCTGCTTTCACACAGCTGTGGGCTTTGACCCTCAGCCTAGTCCAATGTACATTCCAACAAGTTACTTTCACACTTCTGAAAATGCATTCCCCTCTTTTGGCAACAAGAGAAAATATCTTACAATATTCTCTGGGAGTTCGTATTTTCATTTAGAGTTCAGAAGCCTATCCTTGTTCCCATGTTACACATTTTCTGAGAAAAAAATGAAGGGTCAAAAAAGCTAATTTACTATAATTAACAAATAACCTTAAAACTTGCTTAAATTTTAGAGCATACAACATCTAAGCTTTTTTGAGGGGAAAAAAACCTTATTCACTTTTTGTTATTTATTTGATTAATGTTTCAAGTATGGTAGAAACCGGAGGAATACTAATTAACACTGTGAAATTATGTACTGACAGCTTGAATCTTCAGAACTAGTAATTACCCTAAGGCTTTATATAAAATTTTAAGGAAAGATCAAGTAAAAACCACAACTACAAGTTCAATAAAAAGATATGGCCACTCTTGTTGAAACATAACCAAATAAAAAAAAAAACAGCAGCAGCAGAAAGAATGTCAGGTAATAACAATGCCACTTGTACTGATAATGTAGAATTAAATTTTGTATTACATGAAAGAGATTTAGTGGCAAAAAACCCCAAAGTTTTAGTGGTACAGTATCTGCTAAGTAGACATTATTTTGTTCCCCTAACTCTTCAAAGTACTACTCCAACTACTGGTATATATTGCATTATCATTTTTTGTATTGATGTTTTTGTTATATTTTTTTTTGTAAAATCTTCAGAACTGCCTACCAAGTTCATAGGACATTGTCTCCATAATATACTCATTTAGAACCCTTTACACCACTATCTGAATAACTTCTCTATAGACAATGAGAGTAACAAATGCCAAATGCAGTGATTACCCAGCTTTAGGATAAGTTACAATACAGTTTACTTTGCTTATTTCCTTCAAGAACTGTACTAGCTCTTTTATATTATGTCTTTCTAAAAAACTGAGCTATAGTTGACATGTAACACTGTGTAAGTTTAATATGCACAGCCTGTTGACTTGATACATTTATGTATTACAATATGATTACCACTGTAGCCTTAGCTAACACTATTAGCTCTTCTATTTATTTCTTTTGAACAGGTATTTCTAACATTTCTCAATGGCACATACTAATACAAATTAATCTCCAAACAGTAAAAGATCCTACACAAACTCGTGTATCTTTACAAGATGAATTAGAAACTGAGCAAAAAACAATCTGTTAAGTTACTTTCTTGACTTTAGAAAAGAGTAATTTTCTTTCAATGGTTTACTTCAGAAAGAAGGTCTCCAACTTGTTGACTGGAGTCTACATGAAGGAAGATTTTATCTGGTAAACCTTCAAATCACTGAAGATACTGTTTTGTTTCTGAGGTTTGGAAGACTTCCCATGGAAAGGTATCCCCGCCCCCTCTCAAGTGCTATATATCAGCAGCAACAACATCTCCCTCCTCTCAATTTCAGACTTCTTTCATAGTTCATTGTAAAAAACCTGGTGTTATACTTCGCTGGTAGGCTATACTTTTCACACACAGACAAAAACCAAAACATTTTCAACAACCTCTTCAAACAGGGGGACAAAAAAGGGGAACCCCAAGGTACAACACTAAGTAAAACATTTAAAAGGATTTTAAAAACCTAATGGTGACAATTAGGCAAAGGAAAAAAAATATAACATTGACATATGTCAAAAGGGATTTGGATAAAATTCAAATCCATTTCTCACAAATACAAGAATATGTTGTGGATGAAACTGTTCTATCAAAAATCAATTGCCATTATAATACTTAATGTTGTGACACTAGTAGTATTCTCATTAACATAAGGAGTAAGTCACGTATGTCCACTAGCACTCCTATTATTAACACTGTCTGAAGAGTTTTAGCCAGCACAATAGAACAAGAAATTATAGCATAAATATTTGGATTATCATTTTTTGTATGATAAATCTCAAAGTCAAAACTGTCTACCTGGAAACAACAAGAAAACAACAAAAAAGCTACTAGAACCACTATGTGAAGTTAGATATTAAGTAAATATTTAAAAATAATTAGCTTTTAAATACACTAGCAATAAATTCTTTAGAAAATACAGGAAAAAAACTATAATAGCAATAATAATAATAAACATAAATTAACTTAAAATATTGAAGACTTTTAAGAAACCTATTAAATTAGAGGAACATAAGAGAGGATTTGAGTGCATGGAGAAATACACAGTTCTTGGAATGTGTACATTAAATACTGTACATAAAATAATCTTCTCTAACTTAATCTATATAAATTTTAAGCAATCTCATTCAAATTCCCAGAAAAGTTTGTGAAGTAATGCAGGGGAAAATGTCTCATTCTCTGTAATTACTTTTCCAACATTTTCACTACCCTCAAAGTCTGTTTTTTCCCCTACAAGTCTCAGCAGATTTATCTGACTTGCTATGTCACGAAGAAGTGGTGAGACCAGAACACACCCATCTCTCTAATACCAATCATACACACTCATCCAAGATTCCTTTAATTCTTCCATTAACTAAAGAAGCTGTCTCTCAGCCACCATGAGATACTAAGCAATTCACCATTCATTAACCTTTCTTTCTCTTGTATATTTAATCTCCTCGTCTCTAGAAGATACCTTCATTTTTTATATTTGTTAAAGAATCTCTCATTAAAACAAGTAACTTTCATCTCACACTTCCCTCCAGCACATCCTTCTTTCCAAAGCCGTATTTCTATAGCTCATCCTGTTGACTTGATACATTTATGTATTACAATATGATTACCACTGTAGCCTTAGCTAACACTATTAGCTCTTCTATTTATTTCTTTTGAACAGGTATTTCTAACATTTCTCAATGGCACATACTAATACAAATTAATCTCCAAACAGTAAAAGATCCTACACAAACTCGTGTATCTTTACAAGATGAATTAGAAACTGAGCAAAAAACAATCTGTTAAGTTACTTTCTTGACTTTAGAAAAGAGTAATTTTCTTTCAATGGTTTACTTCAGAAAGAAGGTCTCCAACTTGTTGACTGGAGTCTACATGAAGGAAGATTTTATCTGGTAAACCTTCAAATCACTGAAGATACTGTTTTGTTTCTGAGGTTTGGAAGACTTCCCATGGAAAGGTATCCCCGCCCCCTCTCAAGTGCTATATATCAGCAGCAACAACATCTCCCTCCTCTCAATTTCAGACTTCTTTCATAGTTCATTGTAAAAAACCTGGTGTTATACTTCACTGGTAGGCTATACTTTTCACACACAGACAAAAACCAAAACATTTTCAACAACCTCTTCAAACAGGGGGACAAAAAAGGGGAACCCCAAGGTACAACACTAAGTAAAACATTTAAAAGGATTTTAAAAACCTAATGGTGACAATTAGGCAAAGGAAAAAAAATATAACATTGACATATGTCAAAAGGGATTTGGATAAAATTCAAATCCATTTCTCACAAATACAAGAATATGTTGTGGATGAAACTGTTCTATCAAAAATCAATTGCCATTATAATACTTAATGTTGTGACACTAGTAGTATTCTCATTAACATAAGGAGTAAGTCACGTATGTCCACTAGCACTCCTATTATTAACACTGTCTGAAGAGTTTTAGCCAGCACAATAGAACAAGAAATTATAGCATAAATATTTGGATTATCATTTTTTGTATGATAAATCTCAAAGTCAAAACTGTCTACCTGGAAACAACAAGAAAACAACAAAAAAGCTACTAGAACCACTATGTGAAGTTAGATATTAAGTAAATATTTAAAAATAATTAGCTTTTAAATACACTAGCAATAAATTCTTTAGAAAATACAGGAAAAAAACTATAATAGCAATAATAATAATAAACATAAATTAACTTAAAATATTGAAGACTTTTAAGAAACCTATTAAATTAGAGGAACATAAGAGAGGATTTGAGTGCATGGAGAAATACACAGTTCTTGGAATGTGTACATTAAATACTGTACATAAAATAATCTTCCCTAACTTAATCTATATAAATTTTAAGCAATCTCATTCAAATTCCCAGAAAAGTTTGTGAAGTAATGCAGGGGAAAATGTCTCATTCTCTGTAATTACTTTTCCAACATTTTCACTACCCTCAAAGTCTGTTTTTTCCCCTACAAGTCTCAGCAGATTTATCTGACTTGCTATGTCACGAAGAAGTGGTGAGACCAGAACACACCCATCTCTCTAATACCAATCATACACACTCATCCAAGATTCCTTTAATTCTTCCATTAACTAAAGAAGCTGTCTCTCAGCCACCATGAGATACTAAGCAATTCACCATTCATTAACCTTTCTTTCTCTTGTATATTTAATCTCCTCGTCTCTAGAATATACCTTCATTTTTTATATTTGTTAAAGAATCTCTCATTAAAACAAGTAACTTTCATCTCACACTTCCCTCCAGCACATCCTTCTTTCCAAAGCCGTATTTCTATAGCTCAACATTCCCAATGCCTCACCTCCACCTGGTCACAGTCTGGCCTCCCCTCTCACCAGCCAGTGAAACAGCTCATGCCACAGTCACCTTCAGGTTCCTAATCCAAAGGGTATTTTTTAGACTTCAACATACTTGACTTCTCAACATCTGTTCAATACTGCTTACCATTTCCTTCCTTTTTGAAACTCTTCCCTTGGTGTCTTATATCCACCCTCCAGCTGTTCCACCTCTATGACACTATGTCCCCATGTCCTCTGCAGGTCCTGCCTCTTCAACCCAGTATTAAATGGTGCAGTTCCTCAAGAATAAGTCTTAGGCACTCTCCTCTTCCTATTTGATGCATTCCCCCTAAGACCTGCTTGTGTGACTCCAATAGCCACCAATATGCAGATGACTCACATATTTTTCTCTAGTCCAAATTTATCCTGAGCCTATATGCCCAACTGCCTATTCAGAATGTCTCAAATTCCAAAACTTCAAAACTGAACTCATGATTTTCTCCATCTAGTTCTCCAACACTCCCTCCTCTAAAGCAAAACAAAACACACTGAAACCCAGTGCTTTTTCAGTGTTTCCTCTATCTCAGTAATATTATCATTTACCTTGTTACTCAAGCCACAAACCAAGCAGTCCCTTAACATCTCCTTCCTCTTTGTCTCTCCTACTAATCTATCACTTAGTCCTATAGATCTACCTACTTATCTCAATCCCCACGGCCACCACTCAAGGCTAATACACCATCTCACTGATCTTCAGGAAAAGCTTTCTCCTAAGACGTCACCCCTCTGCATGATTCTGGCCTCCATTCAAGCTGTTTACCCACTCTGAGGAGTGATCTTGCCTAAACAGAAATACGGTCCTATAAACCTTCTGCTTAAAAAGAGAAGATCATTAACATTAACATTCCCTCAGTGGCCCTATATGGTCTGGTCCTTTCTTGCCTCTCCAGCCTCATCCTGTACATTGCTTCTCTCCATTCTCTGCACTCTAGCCAGTGAACCCTTTCAATTTTTTGGAAAGAACTAGGCTCACCCTTGCCACTGGGCTGTTGTGCAGGTGATTTCCTCTGAACCTCTCACCTGATTCCTTCTAGCCTTTCAGTTCTTGGCTCAGCCACTAAATCCTCAGGGAAACCCTGCCTGACAACTCTTTCTAGATCAAAATGCCCTTTAATATACTCTAAAATCACCACACACCTCTCTTTTATAGTACTAGTTCACATTTGTGTGTGTGACCATCTGGCTCCTATCTCAGGCTCCGAAAGAGAAAGAACTTTTTCCCCCTCACTTTGATACTACTAGTTTTCAGTACAGTGCATGGCATATAGTAAGCACTCAATAAATTTCAAATAAAATATCTATGAGCTTATATCATAAAACTTCAATAATAAAAAATTTTTGAATCCAGAAAAAGAATGCTAGACTAAGAAACAATACAGAAAAGATTTGGAAATGCATACAGGATAAAAAAAATCAAATGCATAGTAATAGTGGCATCTCAATCAGCACTTATTTGGCTAATGGTGTTAGAACTGGCTGGCTATTTTAAAAATGAAAGTAAATTTTCATTTCATACAACACACAAATTGATGATGGATTAAATATTTAAAGGTAAAACAAGAAACCTCAAAAATCTAGGTGAAAATATAAACAAATACATATGTAAGCTTGGGAAAGGCAGATGGACTGAGCATGACGGGGCTGAGAGGGAAAGACTTAAAAAGGAAAAAAACTGGGTAAGACTTCACTCCATAATAATTTAAACCTTCTATGCATTAAATAATCACATAGAAATAAAAATAAAAGGCAAACAAACTGGAAACAAATATTTGTAACATGTGAAAGAGGCTTAAGTCTTAAGATCCGTAAGAAAAACTGCAAGAGAAATAGATACAGACACAATTTTGAATGTAAGTAATCACAAACATAAAATATTCAATCTCACTAATAATAAAAGGAATACTAATTAAAGCAATGTGGTGACATTATTTACCTACTAAAATTATAAAGATTTTACAGAAGAAAAAGCTCAGCATTGACAGGGTATGAGTCAACAGACACATGAATAAACACTGAAAGTCACAGAATAAATCTGAATATCTTTTGTAAGTCAATCTGTCGGTGTACAAAAAATTTCTTAAAATTCTGCATGCTCTTTGACTCAGCAATTCCACTTCTGGGAATTTACTCTAAGGAAGTTATCATGTATGTATGCAAAGCTATTGCTACAAGGATGGTCTTCAAAATGTTTTCTGAAACAGCAATGAATCAATCAATAAATCAAGTAAGTGCTCAACAATAGGGACCAGACTAAATTATGACATACTCACATTGGAATATGAAGTAGCCATTTAAAATCATGCAGATGAACATGTAACGACATACAAAGACGTTTATGATAAATTGCTGAGTGAAAGGATTAGGCTATAAAACACTGAATGCTGCATGATACCATTTTTTAAATGGAAAAATGTTGAAAATTCATTGTGAGATAAAAATAAATCCTTTTGCAACTCATTTTACAGTATGATTTACATATTAGTTCAGGTAGCCATGGAGATTAACCCCTCCTTATAATTCACAAATCAAAAATTTACTTACTCTTCCGATTTCTGCAGTCCAAGAAACAACAATGGTGTTTGGTACTGTTGTGGACAATCGGACAAGTGATGTGATATTAATTGGTCGGCTGGGTCGCTTTGGTTCCACACCATTTTTAGTAGGTGGAAGATAACCCTAGGGATGAAATATAATTTATTTCTACTTATTTTCTCTATAATCATTTCAACTTCCACTCCTAAAACAAAAACCTACAAATTACATCTTAGAAAATGTGAACATTTTTGTTAAAAAGAAAGAAGCAAACACAAGTTTCCTGTGTACTTTCCTAAACAACCCTACAGTCTCATTATAGTAAGTCTGCGAAAAATAGTTGTACTACAACTTGAAAATCTCTAAACTTTAAGAATTGGGATGAATTCATAAAAAAACTTGGGTAAGTATATAAGGAATATTTTTAAGGTAAACAATATCCACCTCCATATCCACCCTCTGTTTAAGGCATAGCACTCCTCAAATCTCTTCTCTACCAACAGACTACCAGATTTACAGGAATACCATTGAAGTTTTGTTGAAACAATTTCTTCTCCCCCAAATTCACTATCACACTGAAGCTAACACACTCAACTCCAAGTCCTCGGTTTTCTCTCCACAGCTAATGTCACAGCTGTTACTTGTACATAGTCGGTACAAGTGTTTAATTCAGTCACTTGAATATATATCCAAAATAAAGATGTTTTCTTAATGAAAATCTATGATTAACAACAACTGTGATGACTTATTGGCTAGCTATGCTGGCAATGCATTTAAAAAATAGCTTTTAGGACTTACTGGAAGGCTGCAGGGTTTTGTATTCACTTTCACACAAAGATTGGGTGGGAAGTGATCTTCTTGTGGACAACTGGTTTCTGATAAACAAAACCTAAACAATAAAGGACAAATTTAATTTCTTTTATTAAAGGATAACCTCATTATTATTTCTGTTCAGTAGATGATCTAAAAGATGGTCAAATTAACAACAACAAAAAAAACTATTAAGACCAAACATTTCACATGATAAATCATATTTAAACAGGTTTATAATAAATAATTCTGCCAATGTAGTTTCAGCAATCATGACCATCAACCTGTAAGTATCTTCATAATATTTCCAATCATCTGCTTATGCACGTTTGGCAGGGGAGGGCTCTGTAGTTGAATAAGTTTAAAAATTTTTGAATCAAAAATCACAAATTGTTTCTTTAATATAGAACATCTTAAAGCTGAGCTAACATGCATCTGCATTATTTCCCAAATTTAGTTGCCTATGAAACAATTTTTTTGGTTCTTAGCCAAAGATACTAAAAACCATACAAATCCATCGCCAGGACCAAGTTCTGTCCACTAAGCCAAGGTACTCCATTATTCCCTGAGAACTGAAGCTGTTGAGTAATAACATGACTTGTACTATCCACATGTATTTAGAAAATTACATGCATAATCTTTTGAGCAAACCAAGAACAGCTACATAATTTATAAATCCTCTGTTAACTCTGCCATAGATCAAGAAATAAATTATTAATTTGCTATTTAAGATATCTATTCTTAATTACTTCCTTATTCCCAATATACTGTTGAGGCTCATTCCATCTTTACAGAATGTTCATAACACCTTTGAATTATATAATATGAAGAATGCTATCTCTGAATTCTATGAAATACTCATGAGTCACACAAGCATCTTCCCTCAACATCTGTAGAGTAGGGTCTTAACCTGCCAGCCATGGAATCTGTGTGTGAGAAGGGTACACAAAATGGGATAGTCTTCTATGTAAAATTTCCTAAATACATATTCATCATTATAGGGAGATATCTATAGCTTCCATCAGATTCTCAAAAGGATTAAGGATCCATATAAAGGTTAAAAATTGCTGATCTATAAAAATTTTCTCAAAAAATACTTGACAAACAGATGTCAAAGTTCATAGGGTCGTTTCTAACCCCAACAGAACCTTCTATTACAGGCCAGTTCTTTACATGCAACAGTAAGAGGATGACACAAAGTTGTTAATGAATTATTCCAATGTAGGGATACATTTAACACATGGATGCTGACTGCCTGAGCTATAGGAAAATAATTTATATGACAGGTTGACTCCTACTCAATTAAATAAAAAGTAAAAATCTGAACTAGCCAAACAAACTACAGGGGAAAAAAGAAAAAAGGGGGACAAAAGCAGAAAGTTTTTGAAGAAGTTCACAGGGGAGGGAAGGTGAAACAGGTACATGAATGAAAAGAGACTAGGAATCCCATTAATAGAGAACACACTGATACATTCTGGTCAAATTATTTTCATGCTTTAGATAAAAATTTATACAGAATTAGGATAGCAAACAGGTATATACTCCCAACCTAAATACACTGCTATTGCAGACCTATCGATGTGGGGATGAAAAATGACCATTTTTATTTAAACACAAAGAACCACTTAACAATCACCAAATATAATACAAAACGGTTTGTTTTTCATCAAGTTCTGCAGATAAATTTTTAACCATCAAGACTCCCTTAGAATCTCTGAATTAGAAAGTTGGTCATAGAAAGAAAACCTTCCTTTACAATGTGAACCATACCTGTTGCTGCTTGAAAGAATGCATGTACATTAATATAAAATACTGAGGATGCAACTAGATCCTTAGTTCTAGAGCTATGGTTTTTAAACTTAATTTTAGTTGTCTTGGGACTCTTTCTTCATATGAAAACCAACCCAGAAGTCAAACATGCAAAAACTTAGCAGCACCACTTGGGCTCAGAGGATGCTGCGAGGGCTGCTGGAGGAGGGAGGGGTGAGGCACAGGGGAGGTGGAATGTCACCAGAGTGTACAGGCTCCTAAGGGCGGCTCCAGCAACAGGGTGAAACCCACTATTTTAAAGGATGATGTCCCTACATATCAGTATAAACAAAATATAAATTGTTGAGGCAGGAAGTAAAAAAAGGGTTATTAGCAATATAAATTATGAAAGCATCCTACATTATTAGTCCTTTAATTTATTCAGTCACTGCCCCTGACAGCAGATAAAGTACCTTGAACACAGGAACATCTTTGTTAGTGCCTTCCAAAACCAAGCCCTCTACTTCTCCTCTGCTTTCTTACTGTTTCCATCACACTATTCTTAAGCCTACATTAGAGATTTTCTTTGTTCTACAAAGCACAGAGCAGGAACTTTAATGAGTTTTCTGACCTGTTAGTGTATTTATAATTTGTACATACAACTTAGTATCTGATTATTGACACTGGGCAGCATGTTTGACTTACCCTTCCCACTTCAGTGGAAAAAGCTTGCTGAGGAAAACAACTGTTTCGTATTTTCTGTTTTATTATCCCTATTGCCACAAAAACAGTGTAGGGCACTTAGGTTCATACATGTATAGTCATTGAGTAACAAGAGCAGAAGATAATTGATGTAAGCAAGAGAGAAAGACATATTAACATAGAAGATTTTTTAGATATTCTTAGGAGAGATGGGCTAAGAAAAAAAATTTAATAAGGGGCAGCTGCGAATCCATGTTGGAAAATTTTCCATTCATCTTTGTAAAACTATCAAGAGATGTCTCATATGGAATATTACTTATAGAATATTTAAATTAATGATTTAAAATGCAGGACAAGGCAAATTAGACTGTTTTGGTTTTGGTTAGAGTTTAAAATAAATCTTTTAGCATAGTTAACTTTTAAATTTTGGGTATATACTATAGTCAACACTGTACCTTAACTGGACCTGCACTGTGAAGTCACATTTGGTCCCAGAAATATCCCTAGAAAAGAGCAAGAACTACAATTATTTTTAAAATACGCACATGAAAACTGATTCAAAGATACCACCAAGCATAAAGTTTTTCAACTTAGTAGAGATATAACTGTTCTTAGGTTACCACTGTAATAACATTTCCAATATTAGTATTTGCTTACTAATATTCACCCACTATACTGTCTTAAAAAAAAATCACTTAATATAAGACAGTACTGGATTCAAAGGCTAAACTGCAAATCACACTTGAAGACAACTTACATGGAACTACTGATTTGCTGCACTTGTTGTGGTGTCAATGCAAATGCAAAACAGGTTTCTCGAAAGCGCTGACTGTTGTCTGATGCTAAAGAAGAAAAGAATTATACTTTACCTTCAAATTCATCAATAGAGGACACAACAGAAAAAAAGAACCACACCATTCACATGCTTTTAACTGACTGGGATGTAACAGCTCTTAAATATATGTGGCAGTTGTAATATAACACAAATGGGCGCAAAAAAATGGCTACTTTCAGACAGACATATCAGGATTCAAATTCAGGACATACATAATCAAAGAAACACTAATAAACGTTAAGACAATCATATAAATGTTCACACCTAAAAAGTATATTTATAAAAAAACATACTGATATTAATTTTAATTAAAATAATGTAAACCCATTTAAAGACGCATGGTTTCTGAGCTAAGTAACAAACATACACACCTTGAGATCTGCACAGGTGAGATGACATTTGGTTTTCAAGGCAAATTAAGAAATTTATCATCCCCTGCCTAAATATACCATGCAAGCTTTATACAATAAATATATATAGTTTCTCCTATACTTGGATGATATGACTTCAAATTTTGCCTGTGGTCACTATCTCAAGAAGGCAAAAGTTACAAAAAGGGGAGGAAGAGAATAAAGAGAGGAAGGAAGGGAGGGATGGGAAAGGACACACAGAGAAGAGAGCGAGAGAAAAGGCAGGAAGCACAGGTCAGTGTGGAGCAGTGATTCCTAAAGTGGCTGCTCTGAGCAACAATAGTTTATTGGCTTGTAATACACATTAAATATATTTTAAAAATCAGTGGTCAATATCCCTCTTGTTCACTAATATTTACTCAGTGATTGGCACAAAAAAGCACTAAATTATTGTTGAATGAATAAAAGATGATAGAATGGGAGCACTCCTAAAAAGAGCACAGAACAAAACACCCAACATATGAAGAATGGAGGAGGAGGAATAAGAAGGGAGAGAAGAAAAGAATCTCCAGTGCATATAAAAGCTCAATAAGTGAGCTAAGTTAGGCAGTAAGATACTAAAGTGGCTAACCCTGAACCTGTGGTAACCACGAATTTAAAGCCGGCAATGGCAATAAGTACATATCTTTCAATAGTCACACTAAATGGAAATGGACTTAATGTACCAATCAAAAGACACAGAGTAATAGAATGGATAAAAAAGCAAGACCCATCCATATGCTGCTTACAAGAGACTCACCTCAAACCCAAAGACATGCACAGACTAAAAGTCAAGGGATGGAAAAACATATTTCAGGCAAACAACAGAGAGAAGAAAACAGGGGTTGCAGTATTAATATCAGATAAAATAAGACTTCAAAACAAAGAAAGTAACAAGAGATAAAGAAGGACACTACATAATGATAAAGGGCTCAGTTCAACAAGAGGATATAACCATTCTAAATATATATGCACCCAACACAGGAGCACCAGCATATGTGAAACAAATACTAACAGAACTAAAGG